GAGAGTACACCCAACAGCAGATGATGAGGACAAGACTGCAGATAGGTCAGTTGTAAACATTCGTTAAGTGAGGCATTCTCTTTTCTACACCCCTGCAAAGGATAAGAACAACTTTTACAGTTTCAGTTCCAGTTACAACTGATCAATTCCATAAACACTGGTACCCCACTGCATATACATATACATATAATGGAACCTTGTACATGTATGTGATTCAATTTAGCTTTAAAGATGTGCATTTCATACGTAAATATATACAATCTGTTGATATGCATAAATAACACAATCAAGAATTAAGCAATTTTAATACTGAAGCTGTCGTTTGAATACATGAAACTTAAAAGAAAGTAATAAGCATTATCCAAGTTAATCATCATATGGCACACTTTGCCAGAATTAAACATCGTTTTGCACACCCAGCTGAGTTAATCATCATATGGCACACCAAGTGAGTTAAACATTGTATGGCACACCCAGCTGAGGTAAACATCGTATGGCACATCCAGCTGAGTTAAACAAGGTTTTGCACACCCAGCCAAAGTTGAACATTGTGTGGCACACCAACCTGAGTTAAACATTGTACAGGAACACCCAGCTGAGTTAAACACAGTTTTGCACACTCAACCAGAATTAAACATTGTATGGCACACCAACCTGAGTTAAACATTGTATGGCACACCAACCTGAGTTAAACATTGTATGGCACACCAACCTGAGTTAAACATCGTATGGCACACTTTGCCAGAATTAAACATCGTTTTGCACACCCAGCTGAGTTAATCATCATATGGCACACCAAGTGAGTTAAACATTGTTTTGCACACCCAGCTGAGTTAAACGTTGTATGGCATAGCAACCTGAGTTAAACATTGTATAGGAACACCCAGCTGAGTTGAACATAGTTTTGAACATTCAACCAGAGTTAAACATTGTATGGCACACCAACCTGAGTTAAACAATGTATGGCACACCAACCTGAGTTGAACATTGTATGGCACACCAACCTGAGTTAAACATCGTATGGCACACCTAGCCAGAATTAAACATCGTTTTGCACACCCAGCTGAGTTAATCATCATATGGCACACCAAGTGAGTTAAACATTGTTTTGCACACCCAGCTGAGTTAAACATTGTATGGCACACCAACCTGAGTTAAACATTGTATGGCATAGCAACCTGAGTTAAACTTCGTACAGGAACACCCAGCTGAGTTAAACATAGTTTTGCACACTCAACCAGAGTTAAACATTGTATGACACACCAACCTGAGTTAAACATCGTATGGCACACCCAGCTGAGTTAAACATCGTATGGCACACCCAGCTGAGTTAAACAACGTATAGGAACACCCAGCTGAGTTAAACATAGTTTTGCACATTCAAACAGAGTTAAACATAGTTTTGCACACCCAACCTGAGTTAAACATTGTATGGCACACCAACCTGAGTAAAACAATGTATGGTACACCCAGCTGAATTAAACATATGGCACACCCAGCTGAGTTAAACATCATATGGCTCACCCAGCTGAGTTAAACATCATATGGCACACCTAGCTGAGTTAAACATTGTTTTGCACAACCAGCTAAGTTAAACATCGTATGGCACACCTAGCCAGAGTTAAACATCATAGGGCACACCCAGCTGAGTTAAACATCGTTTTGCACACCCAACCAGAGTTAAACATTGTATGGCACACCAACCTGAGTTAAACATTGTATGGCACACCCAGCTGAATTAAACATCATATGGCACACCCAGCTGAGTTAAACATCATATGGCACACCTAACTGAGTTAAACATATGGCACACCCAGCTGAGTTAAACATCATATGGCACACCTAGCTGAGTTAAACATTGTTTTGCACAACCAGCTAAGTTAAACATTGTATGGCACACCAACCTGAGTTAAACATTGTATGGCACACCCAGCTGAATTAAACATCATATGGCACACCCAGCTGAGTTAAACATCATATGGCACACCTAACTGAGTTAAACATATGGCACACCCAGCTGAGTTAAACATCATATGGCACACCTAGCTGAGTTAAACATTGTTTTGCACAACCAGCTAAGTTAAACATTGTATGGCACACCAACCTGAGTTAAACATCATATGGCACACCCAGCTGAGTTAAACATCGTTTTGCACACCCAGCTGAGTTAAACATCTTATGGCACACCCAGCTGAGTTAAACATCATATGGCACACCCAACTGAGTTAAACATAGTTTTGCACACCCAACCAGAGTTAAACATTGTATGGCACACCAACCTGAGTTAAACATTGTATGGCACACCCAGCTGAATTAAACATCATATGGCATACCCAGCTGAGTTAAACATCATATGGCACACCGAGCTGAGTTAAACATCATATGGCACACCCAGCTGAGTTAAACATCATATGGCACACCTAGCTGGGCTAAACATTGTTTTGCACAACCAGCTAAGTTAAACATCGTATGGCACACCTAGCCAGAGTTAAACATCATAGGGCACACCCAGCTGAGTTAAACATCATATGGCACACCCAGCTGAGTTGAACATCGTTTTGCACTACCAGCTAAGCTAAACATCGTATGGCACACCTAGCCAGAGTTAAACATAATATTGCACACCCAGCTGAGTTAAACATCATATGGCACACCCAGCTGAGTTAAACATCATATGGCACACCCAGCTGAGTTAAACATCGTATGGCACACCCAGCTGAGTTAAACATAATATGGCACACCCAGCTGAGTTAAACATTGTATGGCACACCAAGCTGAGTGAAACATCGTATGGCACACCAAGCTGAGTGAAACATTGTATGGCACACACCCAGCTGAGTGAAACATCATATGGCACACTCAGCTGAGTTAAACATAATATGGCACACCCAGGTGAGTTAAACATCGTATGGCACACCAACCTGAGTTAAACATTGTATGGCACACCAACCTGAGTTAAACATTGTATGGCACACCAAGCTGAGTGAAACATCGTATGGCACACCAAGCTGAGTGAAACATCGTATGGCACACCCAGCTGAGTTAAACATTGTATGGCACACCCAGCTGAGTTAAATATTGTATGGCACACCCAGCTGAGTTAAATATCGTATGGCACACCCAGCTGAGTTAAACATCATATGCCACACCTACCCTGCATATTCAGGAATGAATGAAGATTAACAAACCTTGGTTTTCCCTCGCCTACCAGCATTTTGACTTTTCTAAATGCTGTTCTTGCACTTCCTTTTCTTTCCCCACCAGTTGGGCCACTTGTAGAGCCAGTAGTAGGTGTACTGTCAATGTAGAACTTTTTGCCATTACTGGATGGTGGTTTTGAGATGTAAAAGTCGCTGATAAATAAAATACATTCTGGTCCCAACACTAAAAAAAAAAAGTACCGGTAATTGTGTAAAACACTTTCAAATTAGTGAAGAACAAAAATTACAGTGAAACCTGACTAAAACTAAACACGAAAATGACTGAGGAAATGCTCAGTTTACAAAGATGTTAAGTTTGTATTATTTGTATATATTAAAATATTCTTCTTGTACAAGAGCACAAATTTCCATTATCAGGCTGTATTATTTTGATTACATCTCAAGTCAACAATAACATACATCCATTTTGTAATTTACAGTACCTGGAATAAACGTTATTTGGTAACACTATGCAAGCATAACGGACCACAAATTACATTTTTGTACCTCCAATGTTCTTGAAACTTGTGTCAAATTTTCACGAATGTGAGGGGGGAAGTAATGAGTATATATACGATGATAACACATTATAAGTTATGAATAACTACAGTAAAAAAATGAGAGAAAAAATAACATACATGTAATACAGGTAGGATCAAAAGGATCAAAGGCAAATGACAAGATGGTCTCTGTGAATGACTTCTTCCACAGTTTGGTACCAGTATCAGCATTCCATAAAATAATAGAATACGGAGGATGCAATGCTGCCAGGAGATCATGAGAAGCATCCTGGGTAGAAAGCCAGTCCATTTCTGTGAAATGAAACAAAAGTAATAAGAGAAGAAAGCAGCACTATATAATCTGGGTACAAGTAAAGAAATACACTTTTATAAGTTATTAAAGTCAATGAGAAAGATGTGCATAAACTTTCAATATTGTTTTTGGATCTGTACATGTTAAGTATGCTTTTTGGGTTCATTTGATTGTGAAGTATATATGTTATGTATTGTGTAACGCAGGTAAACAGATAAAAAAAAAAAAAAATATATATTGACCGGAAATTAGATTTTTTACCTACCAATACCTTTAAATCTGCATGAATCATGTAGAAATTTGCTTAGCCACTGCACAGTACACTAAACAATTTGTCTACAAATTTTTTTAAAAATCAGATCATGCATTTCAGAGTTATGAGGTGACATTGATGGATGCATGAAACCAAGTCCATGAGCCCCTACTGTTCTACTGCTGGGAGCTAACTAAAGTAAATTAAATATTTATATTACACACTCACATCAAAAGTGAACATAATAATTTGCACAAAATGTACTTACCGAGTATTGGTTTATTTCCATCTTGGAACTCAGCTCTGATAGTAGCTTGTTTAATGTCCCACACCACTATCCGACCATGATAGTCAGCCGATGCTAGTCTCAGTGTGTACGGTGAACGCTTGCTATGATGATAATTCTGTCGTGCCCATTTCACTTTCAATACAGGGGCTCTGTGTCTCTCCAGCGTCTGCAGCACCTGTTACAAACACAAAAATATAGTTCTGATTTTACTATTTACACTGGTAATTTACCATTTTAGTCTCAAGCCATGATTTATTGAGTTCAATGTTGTAAAAAAATAAATTAATGTGAATATTGTAAGGTTATTACGAGAATATCTCAAAATATGCACAAAGACAGTACAGCTGGAGTATCGACCGATGCCTTTGTGTGGAGTCCAGTGGCTGAGTGCAAACAGGTGATACTGAACAACACTTGAAATAGGCCATTAAATAAAAACATATTCTAGTTTTGTTTACCTGCACAGTTCTCGTATCAAGTACAACCACAAAGTTCTGACATCCATACGCTACCATTCCCTGCCATCCCCTGAAAGTAAATATATATATATATATATATATGTATTTTACATTGGTATGATGCAGAAACCTCAAACCTGACCTTGATTCAAAGACCTGCTCAGAGGATGTGTAGACAGATTGTTGTAAATGAATGATCTACATGTATATGAGCACATCAAACTGTTGGTAGTTCGATTTAAAATGATAATTCAGCAGCTTGTCTGCTAATATATTTTAGTTGGTACATGTATAACTGGTACTGTCATCACATTAATGGATGAAACTCCAAATCAGTAATATTGCCAGCTAATTAGTTAATTATACAGTTGCATATTTGATTTTGGGTCATACCATAATTAAGAAAAGACTTTGCGGGAGTTTTGGGTCATACAGACATGCATTCAGCGGTATTTTGTTAAATTTTAAAAAATATATTACACTTTGTATGTATTATGTGGTAGATGTATGATTGACATGTATATAATACTATCTCTACAGACATTAAATACAATGGATGCTTTCTACGAGAGTATAAAATGACATAAAATTACTGATGTTGAAATATTGTATTTGTAGGATAGGTAAAATAATCTTACACAATTCGAAACCTTTGCAATCATTCATGTAACACACAGACTAATAATCCTTATTGTAAATTGTACAAATAAATAAGCTGCAACGTTCCAAACATCCAGGCCAAGATGACTGGGGTCAAAACATTAGCAGTTGATGTTTCGGCATTCAATTTGATCATCAGTCATTTTTGTAAAAGATCTGAAAACCACAACTCTGAATCAAACACTCGAACAGACTGTCTAAGTTTGATACTATTGTCATGATTAATATTGATGACCATAGACAATACATTACTATATGGTCTTATAATTATTTTGATTTTTGCGATACATGTATATCCATTTTCTTCGAATATGTTTACTATATAACCTACATGTAATCTGCATTGATTATTTGACAGATTCCACAGCGAGTAATTTTGATTTCATCCAAAACTGTGGTTTGTTCGTTGAGCTGATGTGCAAAAGTTCACTTCCAAATAACCTCATGAAAATTAGATACATTATTCAGGAATAATTGGGCTACATGCAACTATCATAGATATGGGTTTACTCTACATTTCAAGAGTTTGATGTGTAATAAGTGGTATGTCATGTATGTATTTGTCTGCTGATATATAGTATTAGGCGCAGGGAAAACAAAACTAAAAAAATCCCTGCCACTTGCCGGGAGTTAATTTAGAAATGCATTATCCAGATCTCTCTGTGATTTATAGCACTCTTGTTTGCCGGTTATCATTTTCATTTAATAAAGAATGGACCATTAGAAACTCTGAGAGGAGCTGCCAGAAAAAATGTGCAAAATGTTTTTTTTTTTATTTCACTATTTTTTGTTTCCATAATTTTTTTTGTTTTGTTTTGCAATAAGTGGAATATGTTATAATTTAGGTGTACAGAATTTTGTTTCTGCCAGTGCCCCTATAGTTTCTTACGGTCAATTTTGATGTAATGCAAAGAGCTGTCTGCAAAGATGACAATACTGTCAATTAAAGAGCTACATGTACACTGAAGAACACATAACATTCTGCAATTTCTTCGGTATGAGGTCAAAGGTTTCTATTTGCATATATGTGCAGGAGAGAGAGCTGAGAGCTATGCTGAAATTAACTATGTTCAAATTTGCTATGGGAAAGACTCTCAAATGTACCCCCACCCCTTACAGTAACTCTAACCCTAATCCTCCAGCCCCTATATTTTTTTGTATTGCAACATAGATAACTATAGGTTTCCTCAAGAGGGGCATATACAATTAATTTGAGGGGCAATGGAGGGTAGGGGTTGGGCTAGAGTTAGAATTAACGGTAGTGGTACATTAGAGCATGGAGGTAGAAAAGAGAAGGAGTGAGGACGCTATTTAAGCCCATGTTAATCTTATAAACATCCTTTGTCTTCGCTCTGGTTAAGCCACTTATTGTTTTTGTTTAGAAGTCGTTTTATCTACATGATGATAGCCGCTTATTTACACAAGAAAACGAGAGTAGAACTGAAAAAAATAAATTCCGTTTAAACATCGTCTATAA